TCTAGCGGTGGTTGTATATTATGCCCTCACTACATAACAATCACTCATACCCATCCAGCGGTGGTTGTATATAATGCCCTCACTACATAACAATCACTCATACCCATCCAGCGGTGGTTGTATATTATGCCCTCACTACATAACAATCACTCATACCCATCCAGCGGTGGTTGTATATATAATTATGCCCTCACTACATAACAATCACTCCTACCCATACATCGGTGGTTGTATATAATGCCCTCACAACATAACAATCACTCATACCCATCCAGCGGTGGTTGTATATAATGCCCTCACTATATAACAATCACTTATACCCATACATCGGTGGTTCTAATATAGTGCCCTATGTTCGGCAAATGTATTCGCAGAGGTTTTACAGCAGATATGATAGCGTGTCCAGCGACGCAACCGCCAGCACCCGGCGAGCAAGGCACGCGATGGCTCACACAACCATCTTACACTGAAACACTTAGATACACTTAAACAAAGATCACGACAATGGGTCTACATCCAGTTGACCTTTGACCTACCTGCGCGAGGTCAGCCTCGGAGCCGAAGCCGAGTCCGTAGATGGTGTTGGCGCGCGGGTCAGCCCACTGTCCGAACTTCTGCGACGTCTTCGTGAAGACCATGTTCGGCGTCACCGTGCTGTTGATGACCGCCTGCAAGCAGACGACAGAAGCAAGACACGTCATCATCGGCGCCGGCGTCGTCATGACAACGCATGATGCTGATGCAACGATTCCACGGCGAGTTTTTAACAGCCATGTTGACTGCGTGTGTGGGTGCGTCTGTGTGTGGGTGGATGAGTGTGTGTGTGTGTTTGTTTCAGTCGCAAATGATCAATGTGAATCAGTCAATCAATACAGAGCAAAATATAAAAAACTATCAAGCTGGAAAGCTCAATTCAGAGAATTCACAATTGCGCAAATAACACGAACCAACCAATAACCGAATTATCGATATGAAGCGATAAGTTCCGAGTGAGATCTATCAGTAATAGTGCGAGTGAGCCATGTAGAGAGGAGGAAGATTTTTGTCTTGCATGTATTATACCCAGGTACTCTGATGGTCGGTGTCGGATGGCAGAGGGAGCTAGCTTACAGGGGGAGTTAGGAGACAAAGCTAGAGTGACAGCTACATGTGTGTGTGTGTGTGTGTGTGTGTGTGTGTGCGTGTGCGTGCGCGTGCTCGTGTGTGTGTTAGTGCGTGCGTGCGTGTGTGCGTGTGCGTGTGTGTGTGTGTTAGTGCGTGCGTGCGTGTGTGTGTGTGTGTGTGTGTGTTTGTGCGTGCGTGCGTACGGGTATATCCAATTAATGGCACAATCAATATAGCTAGGTTAAGCTTAGCAAGTCTTAGTTCCAGTCTTCGTTTCTACAATTATCCCTGTGTATGCTAGTTTGCGTGTTTGCGTGTGCATCGCGTCAGCATAGTTACTTCAGTTGCCAACGACTGCGTACTCACTCGTCAAAACTTAGCAGCACTCCCAGCAACGTCTCACACCCATGTGTTGCGCGCACCGGGAGTACGTAACAATCACCACGGCTACACTAAACCCTTCGTCGTGTCACGCAACTCTCTATACTAGATAAAATTCAAGGGAGTGACGCTATATTGCAGACGTGAGGTAGACTGACTAACTCCTAAAATCTCTGCGTGGCTGAGTCCATGTCGTTGATGCACGGAGATCCGATACAGAGTCAGTCTAGAAACTGGAAAGTGGGTTCATTCGTATCGAATGAAAGCGCATTGCAGGAAAGCTTTCTCTTTCCACCGCTGTCTGCATATCGGACGGACAGATATAGTTCAATAAAGTCTGTAGATATAGGCAATAAAATCCTCGACCGCTCGGAAATGTAAATCCGAACAAAATTTTTTGTCAGTTGCCGACAGAAACACGCTGACAAGATAGCCCGATGATTCGCTACGCACGTGCGCGTATTACACGCACAGAGAAAAAGGTTCGGCTATATCTATGGTAATTCAGACTGAAATCAACTCACACTCTACGCTATAGAAACCGCGCAGAACTTGCGCGTGCGTATTTTATTGACACGCGGTGTAATAGGACGAAAGTAAGTGTACGCGCGCATCCCGCTATATACAGATACATATATGCCTGCGTGCAGGGAATAGTCATTCGCTGTTCTATCGCAGCAGTGCGGTTAGCAGTGCTACATAGAACGCTCTCGAACCCATTCAGCTGCCGAAGCAAGGAAGGAAGCTATTATTCCCTGCGAGGCATTTACAGACGACGGCCGTCCAGAGCGGTCGTCTGCTGGGGCGCTCCGAGATGTGCCGACTATAATAACATCTGCCTGTACTATTACCGACCCCGGCACTCGCTAGCTGAGAACGGGGAGTGTTCGTGTGTGTGGGGGGAGCAGGACATCCACGCTCAGTGTCGCCACAGCGACAGAATTCGACGGCAAGGCCTTTAACTTCCGAGTTTGTTTACGCTAAATTAATTCGCCCGCAGCAAAGGTAAATGGAAATCACAAGAGTACTCCATCAGCGTCCAATATGTAGAGATTAGAGGCTAAACATACGCCTCGCTTATTGATTACACTACAGCATCGTGGAAACCGGTGATTGTGCGATGCCACATATACAGCGGCTGTTACACGCCTGTCGTTATCTTCACAGCCGGACGCTGTTGCTGCGTGGAAAATTACGAGTTTACACCATAATATCACAGAAAATATAGCTTCATGCTTGAACCGCCTACTAAATGTTAGCAATGGAGCACCTTAAAAGTGACCAATTAAATCACACCGGAAGTGCCCAATCAAACCAGCCCGAAAGTGACCAATCGGACGAAATAAAACGTAGCAAATGAAAAAACTCCGCCAGAGATCAATCAGAACGCTCAATTAGTGACCAATCAGATCACTGCGATTGCGAAAAATCGGACTACTCGAGAATGTAACCAAGGAAACCACCACAAAATGAACAATCGCACAAACCAGAGATTGCCATGTAGGAGAGAACCCCGCCGCCAGGGCAGCACTGCAGTCGCAGGCTGACGTCAGCGCTGCGAGGCAGAGGACAAACACGCGGATCGGATGTATGCTCTACGGGTTATTAGCCGAACATAAGAAGGCATCGACAAGCGTACGCACACTACTATCGCGCCACCCGTTCCCCTGTACGACCTCCTACTCTACACTCACTCCTCATCTAAACCCCGCTCACGCACCTTAGCACAATTCTATCCTCTCCCCCGCTCTGTAACTCTCCCTTTCAACATTCACTGTCACTGAGCACTTCCACCTCCTCGACTTACGCACGTCACAACTTTATCACAATCTCGTCCTTTTTCATGTTCTCTACACTCTCTCTCCCCCCCCCCCAAACACCTCCACCCAAACACATCACCACCGTATCAAAACCCCACTGCCACCATGTCCGCTCTGTACCCTCTCTCCCTTACGCTCCCTCCACATACATCACCACTTTATCATAATCCTATCTCCCTCCCGCTATGTACTCTCTCTCTCTCTCTGTGTCTACACACGCCCGCACACAGACACACGCACACAATTTAATTACACGCACGCGCGCGCACGCACACACATAGTACGCCTACGCATAGTACGCCCGCACACACACACACACACACACGCCCGCCCGCACGCACGCACGCACGCACGCACGCACGCACGCACGCACACACGCACACACACGCACTCAGTGCGGTAGAGGCCGATTTAGCTAGCTCTATACCGCGCGTCTTCTTCTGTTCGCCGATAGATAATGGGTTAAATTCAAGCGCCACTTGAATGCGTAACAGTGGATAATCACCATCGTTATTGCCATGCATTCCGGGACATGATTGGAGAGGGGCGTTGCGGCAAGCATGCTAAATGACTGCGCTTCCGTGTTATTAAGCCTTTCGGCTATAAATAAGCCTAAGAAGCTACGGTCAGATCACCCACCCATACATACATACGTTCACGCACACATGCACGCACGCACGCACGCACGCACGCATATTTCATCGGGACTCGGTCGTCTTCTTATTGAAGAAATTTTACACAACGTGCCTTGAATTATAACGCATCGACTAGGCATCTGTGGGCTCATCGCTCATTTGTACACCCCTGTGATTACCATTACCCTGCTCACAGCGGGGGCTTGCAAAGTAACGTGATATCAAGAGCTAATTATAGTAAGAGGTATTAGAAGCTCTTGATGATATCATGAGCGAATAAGATATCTGTAAACACATCGTGAGGGCTGCTTAAGCAATATAGGGAGAAATGGATAGAGAAGGGAGAGAAACAGACTAAGCTAGAGAGACAGACAGATACAGAGAGAAAATGCAGAGAGACACGTGGAGAGCGAGAAGATTATAGGGAAGAGGGGGAGAGGAGAGAGGGTGGGAGGGAGGATATAGTGAGAGACACACACATGCACGCACACGCGCACGTAGAGGGAGAGAGAGAGTGAGAGAGAGAGTGAGTGAGAGAGTGAGTGAGTGAGTGAGTGAGTGAGTGAGTGAATGAGTGAGCGAGTGAGCGAGTGAATGAGTGA